ATTCACCCCCTCTGTCAAAGTCTCTAGACTGTTTCCTTTAATGTTGCCTTTTTTTCTGAGTTTTGGTTGTTTGGTTTTTTTTGTTTTTGTTTTTGTTTTTTTTTTGTTTGTTTGTTTGTTTTTTTCCTCTGTAAGGCTTTGCCAGCTAATTTTTAGTTTAGAATACTACAGCATATTTCTCTTGACCTTGTACATAGCTTTCATACAAGATCGTGCCTTTCCTATCAACATGCTATTTCCATTAATTTTCCTTCTTTGGAAGCATTCTTCCTGGTCAAATATGCTTCTTGGTTTACACATTTCAAGGTGTGTGTCTTCATTATTATTACACATCATACAACACCTCCAGTCTACACAACTGAAGTGAGTTATATGATAAAGAGAATTACGAAAAGCTATTGAAATGTTTGTTAAGTTGTTAAATTTGGTCAAGTCTGGACAAGTGCAAATTATGTGTGTCCTGAGGGTTAAATAATGAAGATATTTTTTTCCAGTAGAACATATGCATTTCTCCTACATTGATTTCATAGCATAGAAGACTACTGTTGAAATGGGAAATAAAATCACATCAAGGCTCTGAATAAATAAACTTATATTTCAATTATAGAAATAATACACAAAGGCATTTTTAGAGATTTCATACAGAAGGATGAGTTTCTTTTCATTTAAAGACTGTGATTTTGTATATAGCAACTGTTATGGGAAATGGGCTTGAAAAATACATTTTTATTAGTTTGAAAGTTTTGTGAATAGACAGAACTTCATTTAATATTTGTTTTCTTCTTACTTAGATGCAAACTAGAGAGTGGATATTGCTGTGTAAAACAAAAGACATTCATTGTTCTGATGATTTTTCCTGAACAAATAACCTGGGAGAATGAGTGGAGATCAGAGCTTGAAATACTGCTGGACTACCTCCTGACATGTTTGTATTGGCAGTGGCATCACTGTCTCATAAGTAAAAACAAACAAGAAAACAACAAGTAATTTTTTAATCGACAGTTTTCTACTCTATATCCAGTTTAATGACCAACATTATTAAATTACTGTAATGTTTAAATCTTTAATGTAAAGTTTTTTTATCTGAGATTTCACTCCCTCTTTCTAACTCCTATGGATTGCTATAATGATACTTTCCCCTGCCCCCTGCACCCTCCCACTCCCTTTTTTTGTTTGTGTGTTTGTTTGTTTGTGGTTTTTTGTTTTTGTCTTGTTTTAATGAACACACTGCATCCTGGATGCAGGTTAAAAGACATCTTAAAATGCCTTCAGAAATAGAATTCTTAACACTATTCTTGATGTGTAATCAGTAGATATGAAAATAATTCTCCTTTCAAAATCTAAAGGCTTTTAGAGAAATATGCTGACATCAGCTGCCAACAAGAAGTATCTATAGATAATGTCTTGATTACTTCTCTTTAAATAGTTTTCCAGTTTATGTTGCCACCTGCTATGAGATTTAAACATTCTGGCTTGTAACATATAAAGTGTGCAAAGCTCTGACATTTTGGAAGTGCTGGTTTGTACACAGATGAGCTGAATCGTCATTTTACTCGGGCACAGTAACGAAAAAACAACAAAATACCCATGTGTATTGTTAAGGTGTAAGGGAGGTGCTAAAAGCTCGATTAGAGAGAATTTCTAGTCTCCTTTCTTACAGAAGATGATCCCAACCATATGCCAGTTTCTTCCTCTTTTTGTTGCGTTTTATTCTAGGTACTTGTAAACTGCATCGACAGGAAAAAGTGAGGTAGGCCTCCTTTCCTGCAATAACCTCCGATGTCAGAAATGTTTTTGTATATATCCATGTCACAATCAGTGCAAACATCAGTGATTTGTCTGACAATGTACAGCATGGCAACTGAACCTCTTTCTTAATGTTCTACATCTACAAATACCCACAGATCAGTTGCAATTAGCCTGAGATTAATATTCCTACTGATGACTGAGATACGGATGGCACCGACAGCTTTGTTGGCCACCAGCCTGGAGGCTTGAGGAAGATTTTATCTCATATTTCAAAATTAAGACCTGTCATTATTTACTTTTAAAATGCTACGCTTTTTGACCAGGCATAAGCATTAAAATGTTAGTTTGGACTTGTGTTTGTTATAACCATGAACAAAGAACCTCTCAGTTCTGTCCACTGTGCTTGCCAATGCACTGCTACTGACTTCTAGCTTTTATTCTTTTTTGTTCTTAGCACACCTGAGGCAGAACTGACCGTGAAACAGTGTTGCTTTAACTGCTTTGCCTCTTGTGATGTCCTTCAGGTCTGTTCATTCTATTTTTTGCATAATGTATTCTTATAACTCTTTTCCATAACCAGGTTAATGGTCATCAAGTCTATGATAAGATGTACCTGCCATTTATGAATCATTTTACAGTGTGCTGCTGCACAAACTTAGCAATAGGAATCTTTATTTTTAGCCACTTTTTACAAACTCCTCCCAGTTTGAGGAGTCTGATGTTGGATAGCTCTGTGACTCAACACCTCTTTTGCTGTAGGGTGAATGGTAGGTTTTCACATATAACTGAAACTGTATATTACAGGTTAACCTTTGGAAGTAGAGATGTGTGGATAACACTTCAGCTCTGGCAACTGGGTAGGTGACAAAGTGCAAAATTAAACAGGTAAGACAAAAATAAGGCCCTAGCTAAAGAAGCTCAATGTATGTTCATTTGACATGCAAAATTAGCATTGACTGTAGGTCTGGAAACAAAACCTCTTATTGAAGTTAGAGGATATATGATGAGATTATGATTGTATATGTAACTTTTTTCATGTAAATACTGTACTAACAATTCAATCACTCAGGCTAAACAGTAAACAGTGTTAATGAACTCAACACTTGCACAGTACATCCTACCATTTAACTTTTATAAAGCTTTGATCAAAATTCTTTTTGAACTAATGGAAGGATGATTAGCATTTTAAAATTAAATAAGGAAAGCTCTTAATTTTGAAATGTGAGATAGAATCCACCTCAAACTGATGATACATATTATGCCTATAGTTATGAGTTTAAGGCTAGATATTAGGACTATAGGAACCATACAGAATGCAACTCAAGCTTTTTGTAACAATAATTTTTCCAAAAAGCAGAATTAGTGAGCAATCCAAGGATAATTTGCAAACATACAGAGGGACTGCTTATGCACTGCCATCAATGAAGAAGGATTTTGTAGAGATGAAAGCTGTGTGCATTTGGCTGTTATTAGAGAACTATAATTATTCAATCTTAAGTATTTCATGCCTGTTACACAGTGTGGCTGAAGTGGGATATGCTGAAAATAATATGTGACTGACACTTTGAAGTAATTGGGGAAAGAAACACTGCAGGTTTTAGCTGATGCCTTTTCAAATGTTAAATTCCTGTTTTAAAATAAGAACAAGCAAAATTATTATGAAAAATTACATATATATATATAGTCTGGTTTAGACTCTGCTTAACACATAAGTTTAATAAATATGTTCAGGTTAGAGTTTGCAGTTGCTGCATCGCCTTGTATCATCTTACCTTTAAAATCACCTGGCTATATATCCCTTTTGGGTCCTCACAAGTGATTGAAACATCTGGAAAGTAAGCAATTCTTTCATTACGCTTCTGATCCATTGGTGAACACTGTTACCTACTGTGAGATTTTTTTTCTAGTACTCCTGATGCTACTGCCTCATCTGACAGACACTCAGGTTTTGAATGCTCTGTTTGCTTCTCTGGAACTACTGTGTTGTCTTATCTGTGTGTATGAAACGATTCAGAATATTTGTAACTTTACAAAGCCCACACTTGAACTTTCTTCACCTCTGCTTTGATATCATGCTGTCCTGGTAGATTACAAATGCATTTCCTGAATCTCTCAATGCATTGTACCCATGAAGGCCTTCTTCCATCGTGGGTAAGATGGGCACGATCCCTTTCAGATGACCTGTTTTCCTAAATCATTCTACAAGGGGGAAGAAAGCCATCCTCCTTCAGCTGCTGAGTGGTCACTCCCACGTACAGGTTCTGATCCATAACGGAGAAGGAACCTCTGTAGTATCCTGTGTATAATCTCAGGCTGCTGCCACTCATGGCACATTTCTCTTCCAAAACTTCCTCTCCTAGATTTGTGCTGTCTTTCTTCCACAGTATCCATTTTCATTAGTGGAAAATTCCATTTGCTGTCACTTGAAAATGCTCACTTATGCATATGACTGTGTTAAAGCTGATCAAAGTTTCAAAACCTAAAGAGTGATATTTTTATTTTGAAAGTGTTATAAAATTAAATGCGATTAAACTCTCTAGGAAGTAACTCTTATTCTAGGTGCAGTCCTTGAAGGAGGAAGATTGGCTTTGGTAAACAAAGAACTTTAAGATTCATCTACCTCCTCTTAAATTCGTCAAGGATTATACTGAATATGTGCTTACTATGATTTCTCACTGACACAGTTTTGTTCTAATGACAAAAAGGAATATATTGCCTTAAGAAGTAATGTGAGGTAAACATTTGAAGAGCTTATATTTCAGTTTTGAAAGTTTGTATTTTTCCCTTCAGCAACGCAAGAAAATGGCCTCTGATGACAGATCCTTAGAATAAATGAATAAAGGACATGGAAAAAGCCAATAGTTTGCATATAATCAAACTCAGTGACCCTCAGTTTATTACAACACTGGAAAACTGATGCAGTCTGGCAAGCCTGGAGGGTTAATGACTAATGAAAGTGTAAATTACAGAAGGTCCTGGAGGGGGCACAATTAGCTAAAAAATGAAACTGGTGAGTATGAACGTTACAGTTGAGAAAAACAGATTTTTTTTTTCCCCTTGTTTTGAATGAAATGAGTACTACAGTAAATGAAGCCCTCTCCCCAGGTTATAAGATACTTCTTAGCACAATATAATACTCAGTTTAATTTATATCTTTTAATTGCTTTATGAGAATTGCCATTTCTTTGTTTTCAGGTTAGAATAATATTATTTCTAGAAAGTAATTTTTTTTTCTTTTCAAGAGTATAAATACCAGATTGCTAGGCTGTGACCATTAATGATTCTTATGTTCTCTGCAGCATCTTTATTGCAAGTACTCTTATTATCTTCGAAGAGAAATAAAGTAATGAAACATATAGTTACAATTCAACCTATTTTTCAAAGGTTAACTGGACTATAAGTAGAGATGACTTGTTTATTTTCCATTATTTCCTTCTTGATTTTGACGTTCTCATATGCTTATGATGAAAACTGAAGTAGACTTAGTCACTCAAAATTATTTCTTTGGCATTTAGTTAGCTGTTATTTTGCTTTTTAAAGATGGTAGCCCTAAACTAAGTTCTAAGCCATTGGCAGCAGTAACAGTGATAGCATCTTTGTTGCTTTCTTGCAAATTTATATCATATTACAGAAAGAAATTAGAAGTACATTTCTTTGATTAATTTTTCAATCACCTGAATACTCTCCTTACCTCTAGATATTGCTCAATTAGTATTTTTATTGTTTGCACACTGTAAATACACATTATTCATGTTTTGTAAAGAGCAATACATCAGCAATATAAAAGCTAAGACAGTCCTACTAATTCTTATGTTATTTTGAAGTGCTACTGGAAAATACTGGAGAAGAACTTGACCCTATCCTAAGGCCACTTTTACTCAGACATTTAAGCAGTCAGGAACATTTGCCTTGGAGAACCCACTATCGAGTGTGCTCCTGAATTCCACTTCATATTACAACTAAGCTGGGAAATCCACATTCTCTTCCTGAAACATCTGTTAAGGTGCGAATTTTGAAAAGAAATGTGCAACTCCTCTGTTTTAATTTTAAAATTGTTCCTTGGCTAAAACCAGGGAAGAGTTTCTGGCATTTGTTCATTCCTCATTCCTTGCCAACGCTTTTTTTTACCCTGCTGGATGACTGGTATCATCTTAAAAGTGTTGACATTTCTTACATCAAATACTTCACCTTGCAATACTGTCATTCTTTCACATAGTCAGGAATTAATTTAATTAATTATTTTTATAATCTTTCCCTATCTGGATCTTCTGATGCTATTTAGTCACCTTTTATTATGACAATATTTACAAGACTTAATATAATAATCACCTCAAATGCAAAAATCTACATAAGCTTTTTTATCTGTAGTCTATTAGGGTCTGGGGCAAGGTCTGGATCCAAGTTTAGCATAATTGTTAAATGAAAGATACTGCTAGTAATCATTTAAGTCAGATCTTAATATTGTGGTATCATATTTGAGGTAGCTTTTACCAACCGGGCAATCTGTGTGTTATAAACTTAGCTCTTTGACTTTTAATCTTACTATTTTATATCTCAAAAAAAAACCCTGTATGCCTGTGTGCCTAAATTAAAGTAAGCAATAAATAGAATCATCTCATTTTGATTCAGACTCTTTCTGTCAGCAGAAATATGAAGATACAGGACGTGAATGCCAGCTGACAATACGCATTCCCAGGGAATGATTGGTGTAAGCCTCTCTTTACGATTTTGCCCACACAGCCTCACAGAAAATTCTCTGTGAGTTAATGATTCCCATTTTGTCTTGGGCTATCTTCACTAGTCAGACTTTTCATAGTCAGACTTTTTTTACAACAGGCTTTGTGCTGATAGTTTTTTTTTAAGGCTTTCTTGTCTCCTGGAAACCATGTTACTTCTGTAACTTGAAAAAAGTTTACATTTTGTCCCACAGTCATCTTTGTGTCAGTATTTTGTGCATAAATAGTATGTATATCCATTTAACTGACTAGTAACTTTGAAAGGACTTAATGCTAATAAAAAACCAGGAGTATTTATATATTGAAAATTATCTATTTCTTGTTAGTTGAATGGAAGAAAAAAATAAGATTGAACACAAGTCTAAGAAGGAGACACAGATCAAACAACATAGCGTGCTCTTGTTCTCCATCTCCTGTGAAAAGCTTTCCCCTTTTTAGCTATTATAAATCACATTTAGGTTTCAGAATGATCACCATGCCTGAAATACAGGAACAGTCCTCTGAGTAGCTCTCTGCCAAGGGATTGGTGACTTTGGTTACTCGGAAAAAGCCATAACACTTCTCCACATCTTTGGTCCTACCTTGAAAAAAGTATTTGAAGTAGTTGTGCAAATTCTTACACTGCATTTCTAATCACCCAAATGGACTTTTCCTTATTTTTACTGAGGTATTCAACGTATTCAAACTTAAACCTTTATAAAAAAATAGATGGCCTCTTGCTTTGAACATATTTGTATTGTAGTGTATTAAGAAAAATACTCTGTAGAGTGGGAAACATATTTCAGGTAACCTTTGGAGATGGACTCTTGATTTTGGCCCTGGTATTCAGAATGAATTTTAAAAATTGCTGCTCTTTTCTGTCCCTCTCAAGAGGGAATCCTCACTTCCTCTGAAAATCATGTACTGCTAAGATGTAACTGCACTTAGATGGCTTTTTTCACGTTACTTTGCTCACAAAATGGAACATGCACTTAATGATTGCTTTGGGGTAACTGACCAGAGAGTTTATCAGGACAGAGGAGATCGAAATGATTCATAATAGGTCTCCAGAGTGCACACTCTTTAAAGTGATATTAATGGAACGTTGTTCTTTTTCTGACACCTGTAGGCTGAAGATTCTCAAGGACCATTTTACCTACTCGCTTTATGTCAATGTCTGTTGTTCCCTCTTTGAGGACAAGCAGCTCTTCTCTTTCTGTCTCACAGTGGATCTCCTGAAATATGTAAGATTGGTCAGTAATTTAAAATAATTTGCAGTTTGATATAACATATATCAAATGAAACATACACACTCTCAAAATAGAAACATGCAGGATAAGAATAGAAAAATAAGTTTATATATTTACTTATATATATATCTTCTGCTTAATTTTTTTCTGTTTTATTTTAATAAGCAATTATAAATGTTGAAAAAGATTCTGTAGAATAAAATGAATATACAACAAACAGGTATGGCAAAACTGAGCTAAGATGATAATTTTTCTAAACATTTTTTTTTTCTTAACATCATTTAAACCAAAACAGTACTTACAGTTGCTTGGAGTTGTTTCTTTTGGTGTAAGATGGAAAGATTTATAATTTTAGAAACTTCTGAAATTTTTATATTGGAGAATACACAGATGTGAATTCTTTCAAGACTTGACAGTAATAATCATGGGACACTGTTCTCCCATTCCCAGGGACTTGATTAAAAAATTCAAGCCACTAAAGAAATTTAAAGAGAAGAATGAGACATTTAATAGGCTGGTATTTCTTTTTCTTTTAGTAGTCGTTTAGAAGCTTTCTGAACTAATGCAAGAATTCAGATAAATGCACTGATTTACTATATAATGTACTAAACTCATTAGATTTTATTTATTTAGTCCTGAGAGCAGTATTTTCAACTTTAATGAGAATGAATGGAAATTTCTGTTGATTCGAGGCACAGATTTGGACAATCTGTTTCTTAATCCATGCACCTTGGCTTCCCCCAAAGTCATGGGATGAAATTTGTCAAATAGAAGATTTTCCAGGCTCCACAAATATTCGCAAGGATTTTACATGACTGAAGGATGGGTGGAAGTTGGTGTCTGACAGCTCGGTTTGTTAACAGTCCTGTTTGCTTGCATTCATGAGTTGATTAACTCACTGAAAATACTGACTCTGTGAAAAGAAAGTGCTGCCTTTTTACATGGTATGTTCTTACATACATGAATGGTGTGTAGTAGTAGATTATTGCTAGTTTGTCAGGTGGATTCTGAATAGCAAGTCATGACCTGGATTGGATTGATGGAAAAAAGGCAACAAAATCTGGAGTGGAAAGGTGATAGTGAAATTTGCTGAATTTCAAGCAACCACTGTCCTTTGTCAGTCCATACATTTGTTTACCATGCTTTGAGGATGCCTTTGTATTCTATTATGCAGCATGCTACTTGCTTGGATAAGTGTAGAAAACCCAGTTTTTGCCATGTAGAGAAACTAGAATAGGATTCAGGAGACCTGTGACTCCCTGTTCTCACAGTGACCTGATACAGTCACTGATGACTTACTTCATCTTTATTGAACTTCATCACTATTTCCTTAAAATCTAAGATGTTTGGATTAATTTTACTCTTCATTCGGGCACTTTCTGAATATTTAATCTTACTATTAATTGCTTTCTAAATTTTATAACATTCCCTCCCTTCAGCTTTCCTGATATGCAAAGTGTTCATCATGCAGATACCTCTTGAACAAATCAATCGAAACAGTTACCCTTCTTTCCTACTTGCACCATCTGACCATAACACCACTTTGCATGCTCAGATAATACTGTCTGCTTTTTCTAATTTATCGAACCACTTTTGTTACTATTAACTTAAATGATGAAAATTTATCACCAATACTGAGCCAAATGACCCCAGACTTCCTATACCCTTTAAAAAAATATTGTGTGTTTTATTCACTGTAAATATCAAGGCTTTAGAAATCCTTTCTGTTTAAAGAAATGGGCTTAAAGTATGCAGAGAGAATAGAATGGATTTTTGGTTGGAAATATTACTCATGAGTCTACAATGAGACACATTAAAGGAACTAAGCAGTTCTAGCTCCTTACTTGACCAGATTGCAGGAAATGGGCAAATAGCCAAGATAAAGCTTTCCTGGGGCATTTACAAAAAAAGCAAGCTGAGGGCTTTAGTTCTTCTTTGGGAAATAGTCACTTGGAAAATAAACAGACAAATTATGGCATTTGAAAGAGCTTGAGGGAGGCAACTACTTCATTATGCATACTGGGATTATAGCTTGTTTTAAGAAATACCTAAAATAAGCGAAAGGTGCTGACTTTCAGAAGCAAAGAATAGAGATGTGTGCAATAGCTATGTGTAAATTCACACAGACAAGCTGAAGTTAATAGAAAGTCCATCATTTAAGTGGCATTCAATAAGATCTATAGAATCATGTAATCAGTTACCTGATAAAGACCCTAATAAACAGTAACACTGAAGCTAAGAACAGTGACTAGACCTTCACGATGTAGAAGATTTGCTGTGCCTTTTGTTATGTGAAAGCATTTTCATTACACATCTAGCTTTAATACTACCACTCACACATGGCTATACTAGAATTTTCAGAAATGCTACTTAACAAGTCTTGGGAAGATGCCTTTTTCACAATTGAATTTTTTTTTTTTTTTGGTATAGTTTCTCTCCAGTAATATGCAAGCAGCTCTTTTTCCTGTCTTGTGAGTGATGCACAAATTTAAATAAAGGGCAGTTTCATGGATGTTTGCATGTCTGAGAGAGGGCACCAAATCAGTGTTACTTGAGCCACTTCATCAACAGCAGCCATATAATGAATATGAATGTTTTCAAATGAATTTGAGATGCGTATTCTTCTCTCTTGTAAGACAGTTGCTTCCAAAAGGAGGGGAGTCCTGACTTCCACTCCCTACTTCAAGGATTCTATGTATTTTATTTAAAGTTCTATTGCATGTCTTGGAGTAGTTCTCCTCAGCACTGGCTGACTTAATCCCAAAGCTACTGATCCATCTCTTCTCATGGAGAAGCACAGAGTTTTCGGCACAGTGGCACAACTCAAGGGAGTTTTCAGTGCAACCTTCACTCCTCAGGGCTTCCTGATTCACTCCTCAGTGCTTCCTGACTCACTCCTCAGTGCTTCCTGACTCACTCTGTTTTACTATAAAGCTTGAAAATTTTTAGCTAAACTCTTCAACAGCTGTTACAGATGTAATTCAAAGGTATCTATTTTCCCTCCTGTCTCTGCCGAGACCCGGCTTCGATTCCCGGTCAGGGACACTCCCCGGGCAGATGGAGCTCGTTAACCCTTAAAGGCAATCCATCTATGTCCTGAGGACCTCGCTGCCACCGTCCAAGTTCACTTGGCCCCGGCAGATGAACCTTAGGATTAAAGGGTGGGCTCAGTTCCGTGCACACTGTGTCTCACCTAAAAAAAAAAATCCAATGCGCAGGCTGGAAGGTGTAAAGACCTTCCCCGGATCTTCGCTCGCGAAGACTGGCCATTATTATTATTTTCCCTCCATATATTAATATGAAAAGAATGCAGCATTTTGGATTTGAATCCAAGAAGCTCAGCAGCAGAGCTGCAGCACCAGATTCCAGAAAGGCATATCTAGCTGGGACTGTACTGCAGGCTAATAATGCCACAACAACTGCTGCTCCCAATCTGATAATTGCAATAACAATGTAACAGCTGGATTGTTCACAGGCCATCTACAAACCAAGTTCTCCGGTGCATTGCTGGACTTTAATTTTCTGATTCTTGATTTCCTGCCATCATTTTCTGCATTCAGCTGCAACTCAACATGTAGTTACCATGTAATACTGAGATATGATTGTCATTAATATTACAATGATAACCATATAATCAAAGACTGACACTGGAATACAGTTCTAACAGAAAGAGAGAGGTAAATGCCTATTCAGGTTTCCCCCATGACATTTCTTCACTTTATAGAGCAGAACTTTGACTTACTATTGTTTGAAGACTTAAAAATTACTCTAACTTCTTCTGCTATAAGAGAAGTTTCTTAGATAAACCTATAATTAAAGTGTTTAAAAAAAAAATTTAAGCATGCCAGCCTCATTGCTGAAACTGAAAACACTTCATGGAATGAGGTGTCAAGTTAGAAGATAATTTACTCTCACTACAGGTAATTCATAAATGCTTTAAAGAACATTGAAATGTTTTTAAAATCCTCAACATTTAAGATTTTCCTACAGAGTGGCAAGACAAGTTGGGGGAGTTCCAAAGGATGCTTATTGTTAACCACCCAGGACCTGACAAACCATTTACAAAACTTTCACCTTATTAAAAAAGGTCTGTTAATCTTAAAATCCAAAAGTATTTGCAAGTATGTATTTCAACTGTGTTGTCTGCAACCATTCTACAATAGCCTCTCATAAAGGAAAATAAGAATTAATATGATTTCAAAAAAAACCCCACTGAGTTTGAAATTAGAACAAAAAAAAAATCTTTTAAAAACAGAATAGTAAGCCTTCAGCTTTTGTTAAGTTTCAGTGTAGACACCAAAATCCCCAGAGTTCTTCCTCGTTTGTGACTGCCTTACAAACCTCGTGTCTTCCCTTATTCAGTACACCTGCTGTTTTTGCTGGATGTCACTATCTGTGTCAATTTTGTCTGATCTAGAAAGATAATGTAGTGGGGTAAGCAGGAATGTAGATAAAGCAGGTGCTTAAACCAGAGGGACCCATTTTGTTCTATGGGAAGTGTTTTGAAGCAGAACTGTTCTGATTTGAGTGTGTCTTGGTATAAGCCTTTAACAGATATCACAAGAGGTACTCAGAGTTCTGAATCTTTATTAAAAAAAAAAAATCAGTCTGCTAAAAACCACAATATAGGTATTTGCTTACACATTTTCCATATATTCACAGATTAGTGGCACTCCTGTTAATCCACACCTAAGCATAACAACAAAGCACATTATGAAAGATGGGAGTCAGTATAAACAGCTTTGACCTCTGATCCAGAGAGCCTATGAAGGGAATTCTCTACATACACACTTCCTCACACAACTGTTTAGCTTTATATTCATACCCAGCTAAAGATAGGACTGTTTGTACCAAATCAAAAAGAGAAACTTTCAGAGTCGGACTTGACACTTCACTTTTCCCGGCCTTATTTTGACTGGCAGTATGAGCCTTCTGAGTGCTGAGTGGACGGATCATCACTGGGAGGCAGGGGCAGTGGTGGTGTGTACTGATGCTTGGAGACAAAGTAATCCACAAGATGCTTCCTAGTTGTGGCGACTTCTTCTTCGAAAGAGTTTATTACGCGCCTGCCGATTTTGCGCTTAAAGCAAAGCAAAAGATTGAGACTTTCAACTGAGCAATTTAACTGTCCGGTTCAACTAGATTCAAATCTTAGATCCTCAAAATGCTACAAATTCTAACTTAGAAGTCTGCTTTTGCCTGTGGCTGTTGGAATGGTGCAGAGCAGTTTGGCAGATGTGTTATGATTCAGAAACTCCTCCACCAGCCTTGCCAGTAAGGCTCAGTTCAGTGACCACTTCTGGCTATGTAGAGTGTACCTTTTTTTTTAAAGTAAAATGTGACCCTACTGTTTAGCTGTATTTTACACCATACCAGGGAGGGAGGCTTAACTTTGATCTTCTGTGTGAAGAGGCACGATCTCACTCCTCAGGACACATTAGGATATCAGTGCTTCAAGAGGGCAAACCTTGTGGATTGCCCTCCAAGCTATTGGTGCCAGGATTCTAGGGCACAAAGTTTCCCACTTGAAGCTGCTACTTCAAGTTTTCTATATACTCTACTTAGAAATAAAGTAATATTATGACCAAGAGCGTTTTTGTACCTTGAAACACTGCTCCAAATAATCATTCACAGTTCAGGCTGGATAACAGTGTCTCACTCTTAGTCCACCTTTTAAGTTATCAATCCACTTCCACTGCACCATGTGATCCTATTCTTATCTATTTTAATCTGTTGCATAAGCACCTTCCATACTTAACCTCGACAGTCACCAGGTATATATTTAATACACAATATTATCAGCAAAGCAAAAACCTTATTTGTGCAAACCCACCAAGAAGTAAGATGCAGAACCCACACTGCACCTCATCAGGGAGCTTGGGTCACTTCATTCTTAAATCCATAGGACTAGGGCTCACATATCAAAGATCAGCTGATCTTGATTAACAGAGCAGCTGAGTTTGGTGTGCTTTTTCACACACTGTGGCATGAAACCCCAGAAGCAAGAAGGAGTAAAACTGGTTAACTGTAAAACACTTGAGATGGGCTTTAAAGTTTGAGAGATTAATTAGTCTGATTTATATGTAAAACTAGACATGTGAAGCAATGCTCTGGTCAAATTTTGACTTTTCACATGTGTTGCTCATCCCTTCTGAAGATGACAGAGCCACTCATGGTTGAGCTTCCTGGATTGATTATTGCACCCAATATAATTTTTTCTGCTGTAACAAGTTGCTGGAAAAACATTTCTAAAGGAAGCAGGTTTGCATCCAAAAGCCAGACACTAGAATACACTGAGAAGTGTTTGGGTGCAGAGTTCTTAGCCAGTAGAGCATTCAAATCATTACTTCAGTAAAAGTCATGTTCTAACCTTACACCATCACTCCAGGCTGATGCTTGGAAATCTTAGAGACAGAAGTTCTTGTTTACATTCTTGCTCTGAATCTTATATGAAGATTATTTGGTTAACACTTACAATGAATGTTCTCAGCCGTGTCATCTCCAGCATGTAGTACTCCTCCATTGTCAGGTCTTCAAAGTTCTTAGGAAGAGATAAAAACTCACAGACGTGACGTTTGCTGTGTTCCTCCCTGCAAAATAAACCCAGAATAAGAACATATATTAAACCCATAAAATGTTACATTTCAGGAGATGAATAAATCTGAAGTGAGAGGTCTCTTCAGTATTTCTACTGTCTATCAGGAGAAAAGGTATCATACAGAAAACACAAGAAATAGATGGAGTGGATCTCAGATAAAAGCTAGTTGAACTATTTCAAGGTTACTCAGTAGGATAGTTCACAAAACTGAAGCCTACTGGAAGTTGTCATAGAAGAAACTAGTAACTTTATAATGACTAAGGGAACTTCATCAAAGAACTTTGAGAAATATTTGCATCTGTGCTTACCACGGGTTATCATTTTGTTCCCAGCCTTCCAGTTCTAACAAGCAAAAGAAACATTTGGCCACATCTGGTTCATTTACATTTGGACAGTGGATGAATCCCGCCTTTGCCATCTGCAAGGGACAGTTTAGAAGTTCAGAGCCTTATCCCCCACACTTGCTCGTGTTTACATGAGCAGACTTAGTTCTGAAGAGCTTGCAAACAACATCTTTCCTCACAATGTCTATCAGCACAGATCAGGCTGAAAAAGAAATTTTAAGTGTGAGGACTGCAAGCAGGTAAATAAGGAATTAGTAAAGGAACAAGGAATAGGCTACAAGTAGTGAAAAGATTTCTGCATAACTGTGGTATCTGCAGGCTACTGGAATAGCTTTGTTGTAGCAGGTAACATCCAGTAAATGCCACAATACGCAGGTATTTCTGTAGCAGTGCATGAGATCTGCCATACTTAGCACTTGAAAGAATATTTTCAGAGAAAAAAATGTCATGGACATAGAGAACCTTTATATATAAATTATCTGAGTAAAATGCTGCATCTTGAAGTTCTATGTTTTCCTGTCACTTTAGAATCGTGTCTGGTCAGAACACTAAAAATTAAGTTTCAGTTATCAAAACCCTCTCACATAACTCTTGAAGTATGACTCATCTGAGATCCAGCTTGAAAGTTTCACATGTGTGCCCACCTAGAAATCAGGTAGATTTTTTTTTTTTTTTTTTTAATGCTCAAGTCAAAGCCTGCAGGGACATAAACATTAAGCTTTCTAAAGTTTATATATTTTCCACTTTTGAATTTGAAGTAGCCATCATTCTGGTACCTCATCCTTCCTGCTGGATGTGTAATTTTCCAGTCTAATGTAGGCTGCTTTGCCATGAATAGAAATTCGCAATCAGAAAGACTACATAATACTAGAAATTAACTTTTCAGTGAGAAGAACAAAAAAAAGTAACTATAGTAAGTTCTGCAGCTAGACTAGTGGACTGAACACAGAAAAGCCAGTCATCCTACTACAGTATTTCTGAGGAGCAAAGAGAGCAAAGTTGGAGTATTTAACTTTTCATCTTCATCAAGTTTAGTGGGCTCTTCTTGAACATAAATATACTTAACAGCGACTTCACATTTAGGTACAGTATATAAACAATAAGGCACAGGAAAAATAACCATTTTTCAGACTTACATTCTCCGGAGTGCACTTGCAGTTCTCTTGGAAAGGCCACTTTGTGAAGGTTTTTAAACGGTTCTCATACTCATACATCTCCTTAAAATCAGTTAAGAGCTTAGAAGCTGAACTAAGCTCTTTCAAGAGCGTCTCCATCTATAAAGCCCACAGTTAACAGAGCCCAGTGCCTCTCTCCTGCTCTCAGATTTAAGGCATTATACTAATTGGTGACACATTGCACCTGTAAAGCAGGGCAAGTTTTTAAAGAAAGCAAAAACACAGGTGAGTTCATGAGCAGGGCAATCAAGAGAAATGAAGCTGCTGGAACTTTTCCCCTTGTGTCACATTCTGTGTACTCGGTCACACTACGTATTTTTTTTCTCTGAAAGTACCTGTGCTAATTGCAGATTTTATAACTGAAATGTTAAAACCTTCATGTTAAAAATTCTAGTTACAAATACAGCAACTCTGCATATAAAATTTTAAAAAATATTATCCTTGTTGTGACCAAAGGGGTTGAATCAACATTGCTATTTGAATCCTTTAGTGTTTCTTAGACTTCATTTTTAGACATGAAATCTTAGGATTCTCTTTGTAAACACTATTGCATTTCTTTAAAGAGGAGGTGGTTTTTTATAATATTCAAATATTTTATTCTATTTTAAAATATTTTAGAGTATGTCCAGAGACAGAAACAATGAAAATATTTTGAAGAATTACTTCTGTAAGGGTTTACAGGAAGAAAGTATTAATCTGTCTTTTTATAAGTTGTCTCTTATTTTGGTACAGAGCCCAGTTAACTTCAGCAGGAATTTTAAACAGCAGTGTGTTCAAGTCTGCTGTATGCAGCAGCTTTCTAAGCCAAGATCTTAACACCTTTGAAAGGTGTTGCATTATGAGACTTGAAAAATTTCAATCCTCTCCATAATACAGATGGACTAAGTGCCGAAAATAACCCAGCATGTCAGTCTGTCCAAATGTGGTGACAGAAATGAGATTAAGGAACATTTGCACAGGACTTTTAATTTCAGCTCTATTAGAGCATCTTTTTTGCCTGGATTTACACATGCTAAATCATTGATTCCTCTGGGAGTGTACTTGTTACCTAATTTTATATGCAGGGATACTGTCCTTGAAATTTATATTCAGATGTTTAGAGTAGTATGTGTTACCCAAAATAGGGCAATTTAATTCTGTTTTTCCTTTTTCTTTTAGATGATACAAATGGTACAAGAATTAATCATTCAAAGCCTGGGGTGTGCAACTCCTGATATTTACACTTTCTTCTGGTGCTGACTCCACGACAGCCCTTCTGTAGTTTGCTGCTGATCAAGGATTTTAATATCTCCAGACTTTTTTAACATAGTTGATATTTGTGTGTGTGTGTGTGTGTACACGTGTATGTTTGTGTGAAGTAAAGAACTTTAAGTAAAAGTTGAAATGCCAAAGTAAGCTAAAAAACCTGCTTTTAATGCCCAAAAACATGCTAAAATTGATCCTCTGATTCTCTTTAACACAAGGCACTAAATAATGCAAGGGGATTTTTTTCAGGAATGAATAATTTGTCTATTGTTTAAAGGAAATTTTAGGTTTAAAAATTTTGGCATATTTTATAATCTTGTGAAGTCATGAACTATTTGATTTGTTTGTGTCATCTCAAACATAAAATGCAAAAAAGAAAAAAACTATAATGGTTTCAATGTTTATTGTAAGCCACCTTATCTGAAAATGCTAATTTTTTTCTAATATGCATTAAATGTAATATTAATTAAAAATGTATAGTAGCGTAGGACCTCAGAATCCTGGGTGACATTTACACATCAGAATTGCAGAACTGAAGTATGGATTTTTTTCACTTTGACTGTTGTTATTACAGCATTTAAAACAAATAAAAACAAAAAATCCCCAACAGCCCAAATCAGTTCTTATGTAACAGAGTACTGTCAGAATACTAGAAAGTTGCTGGTGTTGGTTAAGATGTATTTCTTGCGTTTCCTGACTATTATTCTGTCAGAGTTCCATGCTGTTGAGAATGACAGACATACTTGAAGTCTCCAGCCACCAAACTGCAAAGGCATCTTGCATTTTATAGTAGATTGTCTACATCCTTCAAGAGCAAGAGCATATTGCTTTCAGGAGTGTTTTGCAACTGTCAGAATCTTACAGTTCCAGATTAAAATGGATGTGTGGTTGGAATGTTTCACTGGAAGATAGGTAAGAGGTTTCAGTGAAGTGGAATGGCACAAAAAGAAAGATTTAAACTGTATTTTAAACTATATCATACATTAAATATCTGATATTCAGTGTTCGATCCTGACTCTTCCAACAGCTGCAGAAAGCCTGTTAGTAATGTCACAACTCTGTGATTCAGTTAAAGCAGACCCTGATGACTGTGTATGTATGATCTGGGGGAAAAAAACCCTCACAAATTAAACAGTTGCCTTCCACTCAAAGGAAACCAGTTTTGATAATTGGCAACAGTGCAGTAAATTTAATTTTTCTTTTATTGCTAGTCTCCTACTTCTTCAACTGAAATTTGTGGTAATGGCATCAATAACACAGCTCTCTAGTTAAAAAAAAATAAATTAAGATGGGGAAAATCTTCCCCACTATTTTTATAATTAGATGCCCATTTGCAAGCATATTTTACATGATTTTACATTATTTTCCTATAACTAATGTAGATCACCTAATTAAGTTGTATATTTTGCTAAACTGTCTCAACTGAAAACCAAACCAAACCCAACCAAAAGTTCCTACACAATGCTTTTGTGTAAAGGCCATAAATCTACCTTGATAAGGAGAAAAGAAAAAGCAAAAATATTGTTTGAGCAATGTTTTATAACAGAGTACTGTAAAAAAACATCACATAGGTGCATGGTCTCGTATGCGTAGTTGCATGTCATGTATATTAATTAGATATAATGAATATAGAGCTTTAAAAGTAAAATCCCTTTGAGGGTTTAAGAGAATATTTAGAACTGGTGCTCACGACAATTTAATGACCCTGCTGAAAGCCTTTGTGCTTCAAGAAGTTACCCCTGACTCACAAACTGTCAGTCAGTGACCAGAGCAGGAGATGCTGGGCTTTGAGTGACTCAAAGACAGCACCACTGTGCAGGCAGGACACAATAACAACAAAAAAATGGTTTAACCAGCCATGAACTATTAACAAGTATTGCATTTGGTTTTAAGGCTGCATTCAAGACATTGCTGTGAGACCTCTGCTTTTTCCACGCTCCAGTGCAAAAAAGGTGGAATTTTGGGCCATTGGGTTGGAACATTCCATACAACTCCAATGTGACTGACCTGCAGAGCAGCTGCACACCTTCCTTGACCAGCACAAGGTACAGCAACTGCTCACAGGGGTCACCAGCTCCTGCTTGCATCTTGTAGGACCGTGTGTGAACGCACCCGTGCAGGCTGGGTGCTGCCACAGCCACAGCTTAGTGGGGACAGTGAACTGGAAGCAAAGGTCTGCTTGCACTAGTGGTCACCACATTCATTCTGTGGCTAGAGTACCACGGTTGGTAGATGTGAGAAGCTTTCAAACTACAATTCAGAAGTTCTGCCATGCAGAACAGAGCAGCATTTGTTTTCTATAGCTGCCTTATTCATTGGAATTGTAACCCGTCTCCAGGCAGGAACTGTCGATTCCGTTCTTGGCGATGTTACTGTGAGGTGTAAAGTATCACACTAAGACAATTAATGGCTCTCTGTGATTTATTTAATGACAGGGAGAATACCAGACTGTTTCAGGTTAAAGAGAACCTTGATCTATTTGTGTAAGTTTGGCAGACAGCATTTCCTTCCCTGTTTGCAGAGTCAGGTGTATTTTGCAGAAGCCCACTCTGGAATTTATTAGCAATACACGGCACTTCTTCACACTCCAGCTTCCTAAGCAGCCACTATAGGAAGGGGTGGGTGTGGGGGTGTGTGTTATTTTCAAACCACTGTCAGCCTGCAGTTATTTTGGTTATCAGTGTGGTTAAGAGGCAAATTCAAGCAATAACGTGGTTAATAGGCAAGTGATTCAAGCAGCTTCATGGAATTGTGTGTTTCCTTCCTGATGGAGAGCGTGGGGAGGGGGAGGGAGGTGGGTTCTTAGGGGGATGTCCTATGACCAGAGCTTAGGAGCAGATACACTTTCTACCAGGGAGGGAGGCTTTTTGTTTTCCTTCCCTTAAAGATAGTAACTTCTATGTAGTAAACATTTCTTGGTACTTTTTTTGACTGATTTTCCTCATTCCAGTTCTCAGTGTATGGCCTTGACTTTCTGTAAATAATTTACCTGTTATCACTCATAATTTGTTCTTTTCTATGTACCTAAGAGGAGTCCAGTTTCTCCCAACCTCAAGACTTTAAGCATGTTTGATTTTCTAAAAAAAAAAATAAAAAAAATTAATTATGATCATACCTATGGCCCTGTTACAGCTTACATTTTTTATAAATATGCCAAGCAAGTAGAGATAACTATGGAAGATTTTTCCATAAACTTGTACTCAGGGGAGTTCTAGCTGCATTACTATGGAAATTTTTGGTGCTATTATTCTTCAAAAGCAGCAATGCTGGATGACTTGAGGGATGGTTATTTGAAGACCTGCAGATCAAATGGTTCAAGCATGAACTAGCAGAAGTAATTAACAGCTTTTAAACTTTCCAGTGAGAATTCTGGATGACTTCCAAGTAAATTACAGTGATAGGGATATGCTGCCCAGAGAATTGCTAGGCTGCTGCTCAAATCACTGTCTGGCTTTCTTTCAGGAGGTGCCAGCTGATGTTCTTCACTATATAACTGGAGAATGCAATTATAGTGGCAGCATCATTGATGACTGGGATCAGCTCTGTAAGTGTTTTAAACATGTTGTTGAAATAGAAATTAGTGTCTGAGAAGAGCTGGGAATCCTCTGCTAATAATAATAATAATAATGATGGAAAGTTTGGTGTTGTGTATCCTGGGAGTGGAAGCAATCTGCTAAGAAAGAGGAAACAAGAAAGAAGTTTTCAGAGCTATCTGTTAAAAAGTAAACAAAAAACCCTGCCAACAAAAATACTTTGGCCAATACTTTGCTTTATTCTTTGCTGCAGACATGGCTGAAGCCGTGCAAGAGAGCAGACATTCCACAGTGACCAAGTTCCCTGGCCTCAGTGTACAAGACCAGCGAGGGAAGAGGGATCCTGTCAGCTACAGGCCATTCCACCAACTCTGTCATTGTCACGACTCTCCCTTCAGAAAATTCACAAGAACACTGGGTCAGACAGGGTGTGGCATTATAGTGTCAGTTTAACTCATAAACCTATTGCAATTTTGGGAGGTAGAGGCATTTTCCAGGTCACTTATATGGAATGTGTGTCAGTCCTGAAATGCCGTGTAAAAAGAGAAATCAAAATGAGGGTTTTTTACAATGTTGCATTTGTGCCATTCGTGAGATTTGAAACAGAATACTGAAATACAGAAGTACACAACAAAACCTTATAAAAGCCAACAAAAATATCTGCTCCTTGAATAGCTTTTATTTTCTGAGGGCTCCTTACGTATAAGGAACATACATAAAATGAACACAACACTGTTGACAATGAACAAAACAGCATTTGATCATTTCCAGCTTTATAAAATCTTAAAAAATGATCTAGTTATAACAAAAAGACCAATAGCTCAGCAAGTTATCTTATTGGACCATAATCACATTTTAAACCATAGACTCAATTGTTAACGGGGAGAGGAAAGAAAAATAAAAAAAAATAATAAAAAAAAAATCACACTGCATCTAGCAACTACAACATTTTCTAAGCATAATCACAGCGGATTGAGTGCAATGTGATTTACATCAAAATTCAAATGGGATGTCACACAGTGACAGCATTGTAATATACAAGTAACATTTATGCCCTCCAACAAATACAAGTTAAATGAGACTCTGGATTCAAGCAAAATGGAATGTTGAAACCAAGTAGAAATGTAGTGGAATTCAGATTGTCTGTAACACAAGAGTACATTAGGATCTTTTGGAATTCAATACTGGCGGAAACATATAGGAGTCACAGCTGTTACACTGCTCTGTTACATTTGCAATAAATATTAGAAAATAAAAGTAAACAACCTATATTCCATGAAAAATACAGTACCTACCTTCAGTGACCATGTTTTTTCCCTTGTCTGAAGATGGTCTTGGAAGGAAGTTAACTATTTTCCTACAGAGGCAGTGTATTAAGCTATACCCATATTCCAACTAATACAAAAGTAAATATACTACCTGAAATACAGAAATCTTCATTTGAAAAGAATGAAGAGAAATAAGCTTTAAAAAAATGATTTGACAAAACATCAGTTCAGCTGCATAATGACCCCCTTATACTTGACAGAATTAACAGAAAAGAAAAACTAAGTCAGTTTAATACATAAGAAACACAGATTGTATAAACTTAGATCCTCAGAAGGTATCCAGTGAGTTAAAGCCTCTTTGAAAATGGTACTCATTGCCCAAGCATGAGCACTATGCTAAAATGTCACCCAGGAGCTTTACACTGCAGAAATCCAGGAATCTGAAGCTAGCAACAGTGAGTTTGCTAATTAGGGTCCAACAGTAAACATTTTCTGGCTAGAGCATGAAATGGGGGAAAACCCGGACTGGATTTCTGCAGGAGTATGGAATGGGGGAAAACCCGGACTGAATTTCTGCTGGAGTATGGAATGGATTAAAAAAAAAAAAAAAAAAAAAAAAAGGGGGTTGGACTTGATGATCTCAGCAGTCCTTTCCAACCTGGTTGACTCTATGATTCTATGTTTAAAGAGCAAAAACATAAACCTGAGTTCAGAACATTAAATGGCTGGCTGCCTGAACTCTGGGCTTTTGGCTTCTTCACTGAAGAAACTGCACCCTTCTTTGAAATGGACCCTTAATACTGTTTCCTGATACTGAATTAGGAAGAAATACTGGCAACTGACCGTTTGCTTTAAAATACATGAGCTGCTCTCAGGAAAAGCTGAACTGACCAATGAAGCTTCAAAAGTAAAGGGCCACAGGAAACACATTAACTTGAAATGGAATGAAGATACCAACTGGCTCTCATTAAAGGCGTTAGGATCAGTGTTCTTAGCAGCTTACACTGGCACCGAGCAGACCGAAACAAAACTTACGGCACGTAGTCAAAATACAGCTTTTACCTGGCATACACATAAAATAGACAAATGGTATGTTTTAAAAAAACCTACTACCATGCTTAGGAGTGGTACTACAGAATCAACTTGCACTCCTCACAAACTCACAATTTTTTTTAAGGAGAAGAGTACAAGAAGAACTAACTCATGTCTGGCAATATACGCATACCAGCACAATCTGATCTAGGACAGCTGGTCCCAGCAAGTTAAGGCCCAAAGTTTCAGTCTATTCTTCCAAATGACACATACCACTGTTCTACCACATCTGCTTTTTAATAATCTAATTTAAATACCAAAATTGTAAAAAAATATCTTAGAAATGAACTCCTTTATACTGGAAGTAGAAATCTTCTTACATACTCTCTACTGCCAGAAACGGCTGGTGTTGCAATGTCTGATAACAAGGCATTGTAGAAACACATTTGATCTGCTATTACAGTATTGTAAATAACCTACCAGTACAACATACACAGAGCATAATTTAGCCTTTGTGCCCAGGTTCAGTAACTAGCATCTTGAACTTTGGATTGTTTTAACATGAAGAGGAGAAAATAGTTAAAAATAACAGTTTTTAAAAAATGGAGAAATTCCCATATGGATTCTTTGTTAAAAGAGTTTGCACAAATTCACAGCCACAATTCTTCAGTAGTTTATGCTGCAAGTGGCACACAATACATGTTTAGCATCTGTAAGAAAGAACCAGAAATAGCTCAATAACTCCAACATCAGGGATTTCCCAAGCTAACACTAATTCTACTGCATTTTGCATTTTCCTACTAATATCAAGGAACAAACATCAAATAAATCTTAGTTGGGAAAAACATCATCAAACTGACCCTCGACAGAAGTCGGAGTACATGGCAACAGCCTGCCTTCTTACATAGGATTGGAACGATGGAGTGAGCTTAACACGTCTTGTAAGAATTTAAACAGTGTTTAGGCTTTGGGTTTCTTTTTAAAAATTTAAACTGGCATAGTGGTTTCCAGTCATGTCCTGCTGTAAGATTTAATAATTCAAGTCACCACTATGCAGAAAAATCAGCACAGAATTAATATATATATATACACACACGCACACACACATACATATGTATGCATATCTGTATATATCTACATAGATCTATACATATATAGATACATATACGCACTACTCAGGACTTAGGTGGCACTAAAAGCTTGCTCGGGTTCCTTGCAGAGGTTTGAGTTTTAGCTGCAACATCTTCTGGGTTCTGTCCAGGTGTACCAATGAAATGGTATTTTCCCAAACAAGAAGATCATTCATTGTACTTTTTCTTTCTTAAACAAGCAGTGCTTGCTATTATATTACACTGAACTTGGCCTTTATTTCTCATATTTTGTGTTTCCTAGGTGTTGATCGCTCGAGTTTAGAAGTTGCATTGGGTGACCTCATCTGATTTGAATTAGAAAAAAGCATTAGTTAATCTGGGCAGAAATGAACGTCCTGTACTTGTGTAAGTAGTGCGAGCCACCGCGCTTCCTCCGAGCAATGTGCATACAGCGAAACAGTGCAGACTCAAAGCCATACAGCAACGTTATTGTAACCACAGTGATTACCAGAATTAGGTCAAAACTGGATGTCAAGCACAATTTTGTCTTCATAGAGGGCAATCACCAGCATGATGGCAAATCCAAGAAGCAGGCCTAGATTCTGAAGAACAAACTGCCCCACGGGACAGTAGCCATGCTCTTCATTATCTCCATCTCCATGAAGCATTTCTGGAAGCTTAAAGGGAAAAAAAACCAAAAAACAATTTAGGAACTTTTTTCACCTCTATTCCATTTATACATGATCAAATTTACAAGATGATATTGTCAAGAATAAACACTCCAGGGTTCAGTTACAAAACAACACACTAAGACATAGCTTAAACTCTACCTAACCACTACAGTCGATAAAAACCTGATCATATCGTGTCTTTACAAAACGAACTAAAACCCACTTTCCTTTGGACTTTTTTTTCCTTAAGGTTTTACTGGATCACACATCTAATTGAACATTAAGTTCCTCAAGATAAGACCAGCCCAGCAGTTCTGCTCTCTTGAGTACTTCTACTCAATTAAAATTGTCACGCTCAAGTAAACGTAATAAAAAGCTTTGCCTATTTCTACAGTAATTACATTGCTATAAATATACCCTTTATAATGACTTTGCTGATTAACTTAGCCATTTATTTGTCATATTAGATGCTTACACATATTCACATACACATCCCTTTAAAATATGGGAATAATAGCTACAGGCAATTAAAGAGAAATTCTATGTGAAACTATAAGAAATTATGAAACTTTTGGCTAATCCTTTTGTTCCTCACCTATGAAGAAAAGTCAAAGAGTACTGACAAAAGCAACAAATAATAACGGACCTGGAAGATGTAAAAATAAATCTTACAAAGTGTTTTACAACACACACAGACGAGAAATAGCATGTTTAATTCAAGAAAGCAGTAGGGAAAAACAAAGGAATTCCTTCAAGACACACATAAGTATGGAAAAAGGTACTATAGAAGAAAATGGAAACTTCAGGTAGTACACAGCACAAGTCTATTTATTGCTCTTCATTAGATAGGCTAGAGTAGTTTTTGTTATTCTGAATACCTGAATTCTGCAGAGACAATGATATCAAAGCTGCTAAAAACCCAAATATGTTACATCCTTCTGGCCTTGTATTAGTGTATTTCTAAAAGATACATAACCTGACAATTAATTTGACTCACTGAGTATTTAAATATATACAAAAAACCCTGAGCTGGTGTGAAAAATGACACACTACATATACATATCAATTGACAATTACAAGACAATACATATATAATAGACCAGGCAGCTTAACAGTAAGCACTATACCAAATTACAAAGCACTGTTAAGTCATCAAAATAAATGCAGTAATCATTGACTTTACACTACTAAAGATTACTATACAGTTGTCATGCTAGCAGGCAAGACTTATTGCAGAATTATTTTATTTTTAATAAACCAGAGTTGTTTTCACCAAGTAACACAAAAACTAATCAGAGAATTCTGGTGGAATTGCTGCTGCCAATTCTCACCTTCATGTTTTTTGAATGGAAGATCTGTTTCTGTAGAAGTTGTAACTGCTACACAGACATAATACTGCTGTTCTGAATCTAAGGATGCTCTTAAGAATAATGAAAGAATACTCTGGTAACTATTTCAAAACCTAGGAAGGGCACAGGACTCTGTCTCCATTTCCAGTCATGAACATGAAAAGGGAGTATAGAATGAGTAGAAGTGGAAGTTTTAGCTACAGGTAGTGGCAGTGCTCATGTATTCCCCAAACTGTGGCACTGAACAGCAAGTAGAAGACCCCTCCCCTTTATGATAAAAAGAAAAATATTATTTAACAGTAACCAGTACTATGGGCACACTCCCCACTGTTGCTGTCTTTAAAATACTTATTTGACAGTAGAAAGGATCCTGGAAAGACTCTGAGAAGGAGGAAGGAATGAGGCTGTGCACTGCAAGAACTTCTTACTGGCAATAAAACCCTCCTTCCATCTTTGAGACGTAGCCCACACATACATTAGCACTGTAGGAACCTCTTGCACATTGACATTCACCTGGTGAAGAGGCACTGCCCAACTTCTGGACACAGGGCTGCTCCAGCTCTGCTGTCCCTGCAGTGCTACAGTAGCTATGGGAGGTACGAACAGAACTTCTGAAGCTGGGCAGGCATGAAAAAGAAATTGTTCAGAGAAGTCACAGATGTTTTTTTTGAAATCTAATGGAACGTGTTCTGCATGAAAAAAAAGGCTTCACCTTAGCAGTACTACAAGGGGCTTTAAAACTGCTGGATATTTTCTTTGATAGCATTGGAGGAATCAAAATCTATTCTTCTTGTGTGTCAGGTAACAAGGCCTCTGAGAAGCAGCAGATTATGGAAATACCAAGACAAGAATCTGGAGCAGTTTCACGTGTGCCTTGCAGAAGCTTTGCTGCTCTTGTTTAGTCAGACCATCGGACTTTGACTATTTGGTTGCTACTATGATGACTGAGGAAAAGAAAAAGGAATGAAAACACTGCCTTCCTTTATACATGATATCTTCAGTCAAAGGAAGCACAGGAAATAAATATCAGCCACAGGACTTATATGCAAGTGACAGTCCAGTAATAATAGGCTACTGTAGTTGCAAGTTGCAAGAAGGATCCCTCTATGCAGATGTTTTATTTAACAATTTAGCAAGCCCTGAAAAGAACTTATTTACCTATTAATAGAGTAACTGAGTTACTGTAGTAACTAGAGTATATTTATAAATTAAAGTCTCAATAAAGAATTGAAGAGCATTATACCCCAAAATACCCCAAAAGTGGAATATTATTTCATCATCGTTAGGCTTAGGAAAGACAAGAAGTGAGGAAATTGGTTTATTTAAATTAAGCTCTGAAGCTGCTTAGGAGAGAAATCAGGTCTAAATATGTTTTGATAACATGCACAACACTATTACTTGCCTGAAGGATTTGGATCTGTGGTGTACACACTCTAAAGGTAACGTACATATAAGTTCCTGAAGCAGTAGCATTTTCCCACAAGGTAACTTCTTTAAAAGCTAATCACCACAAGAACTATATATTACCAGCTGCTCATGCCAAAGGTTCGTACTGAACTTCCCAGAATACACGAAGATTATATTTTGGTGAAGAACAACCCTGAACACTAGGCCGAACTCCAGCACATAGTGGCCCAGCCACAGCAGTCCTAGGTTTAATGCATGGAATGCAAAAATGCCACAGCACCACCCCAACCTTACCATGTCCACCAAGGCCACGTAGAGGAACATGCCAGCAGTGACGGCAAAGATCCAGAGGGTGATGTTGTTGGCGTACTGCCCCACGGCCGTGCCGATCAGCATCCCGATGTACGCCATCATAGCTGACAGCAGGTTGTACACAATGGCCTGCTTTACTGTCATACCTGCTTTGAGGAGCACAGCAAAGTCACCTGCAACAGGGACAGAACACAGGGAGTTGGCATCAGTGCTTCTCAGGAGAGGAAGTAAATAAATTAGCTTACACTCACCAATCCAAGGAACTGCCAAAGTAAAAATGCTGCTACAGAGGCTCAAAGTCAGACTGAGAAACAGAAAATGACAATTCTTGTAAGAACTGTATTTATGTGCAGCAATCCCTTGATTAAAAATATGATTTAAAAGTGCCTATTCATCATGCTGATTGTCAGAAAGGTAACACTGATTAATCATGAAGGGTGAATGGAGGAGTCGAGATCTGGTCCTCCCACAGAGAATACACAGAATCAGAGAATAAGCCAAGTTGGAAGGATCCACAAGGGTCATCGAATGCAAGTTCTGGCCCTGCACAGGACCATCCCTAAGAATCACACCATGTGCCTGAGAGTATCATCCAAATACTTCTTGAACTCTGTCAGGCTTGGTGCTGTGACCCTCTCCCTGGGGAGCCTGTTCCAGTGCCCAACCACCCTCTAGGGGAAGAACCTTTTCCTAATATCCAACCTAAACTTCCTCTGACACAACTTCAGGCCCTTCCCTTGTGTCCAATCACTGGTCACCAGAGATGAGTGCCTGCCCCTCCTCTTCCCTTCATGAGGAAGTTGTAACTGCAAGGATGTTTCCCCTCAGTCTCCTCTTCTCCAGGCTGAACAGACCAAGTGACCTCAGCCACTCCTCACATGGCTTCTCCTCAAGGCCCTTTACCATCTTCACTGCCCTCCTTTGGACACTCTCTAACAGCTTAATATCTTCCTTGTACTTTGGTGCCCCAAACTGCCACAATGTTCAAGGTGAGGCCGCCCCAGTGCAGAGCAGAGTGGGTCAATCCCCTCCCTCGACCGGCTGGCCATGCTTTGCCTGATGCCCCCCAGGACACAGTTGGCCCTCCTGGCTGCCAGGGCACTGCTGACTCATGTTCAACTTGCCATTGACCAGGACCCCCGGGTCCCTTTCCTGGCACTGCTTTCCAGCACCTCATTCCCCAGTCCGTCCATACATCCAGGGTTGCCCCATCCCAGGTGCAGAATCCAGCACTTTCCCTTGTTGAACTTCCTATGGTTGTTGATTGCCCAGTCCTCTAACTTGTCGAGGTCTCTCTGCAGGGCGTCCCTGCCCTCGAGGGAGTCAACAGCTCCTCCCACTATTGTGTCATCTGTACACCTGCTTAGTATCCCTTCCAGTCCTGCATCCAAGTCATTTACTTCACAGAAGTTCTTCATGGCACATAAAACCAGAGGCTTCGTTTTTATCAATACCTGTGAAAATTCCTCTTAGCTATATACACCTCATCCTGCAAATTCAGGAAGAGGATAACAAGGCATTAGTCCCCACAGAAGGTGACAATGAATTTGAATTTGAGCACTAGAGAAAGGAAGAGTTACGTTCAGAAAGAATGACTTTATATCATGCTGAATCAGTCTTCTAGTTTAAGACATGCCATGTTAACTTGTTTTATTTTGAATTCAGGACTGCTCTGCTAAAATTGGTGATAGAGGCAGATATTCTATAAAAATCTAGATTTCTGTCTTGTAATCAGCTCTGATCATTTTACTCCATTCATACTGAATTCTTGTGAATATCAGAAGTCTAAGATGATATACAGTCATGAAGGTAATTAACAAAATATTCTCATGTTACAGATGCTAGAAATAGATCACTTGGTCTAGAATCAAAGCATATCAAAATAAAAAAATAAAAAATATGTACAGTGAACTACTCACCTCTTACACTGGGTTAGTTTAATCACGTTATGCTATCAAGTTATAAGCACACCAATATACATTGCAATCCTTTATATACTGCAGCAGCTTCACTTAACTAATGATTGTACAGCATCGATGTCAAACCATGAACATCTGCTGCATTACTTCCCATCTGTGCCCACTACTCACCTACAGCTCAGTAGCTGCCTATATAAAATGCTTTCACTCATCACCTCTAAGGGTTTTTGAAATACTTGTTTTACCTCACTTTTGACCATTCAGAGCTAGCAGTTCATCAAGCAAGCAAGTTGTAAGAGCATGCACAGTTCAACCTAGCACAATTTTGTAATATGTAAACTTGTGTTTACTTATGTAATTTAACTTTGTGTAAGACAAGGTCACACAGAGTAGGGTGAAATTCTCTACAAAATGCAGAGGTATAACATCAAAATGTCAAATGTACTAAGAACACTTTTTAAAATGTGTTCAAAAAGCTTCACAGAACTGCTGTAAGTAGATACCTGCCAATATAATCCTGCATCATTATGTACTCTGGAGCAACACTGCTCCCTTCCACTGAAGTTCTGGTCACCCCTGTGGCATCTGCACTGCATTGTGCTTATCACAGAGAGTATCACAACAGCTTCTAGACAAGTATTTTGTACAGATAAAGAGACTGAGTTTCTAGACTTAGTTACCTAATTCATGGGGAAGCTCGTGACAAAATACTGCTATAGATGTACTAATTCCTCCTGTCAGTCCAGCACTAAAAGCTGCTCCTAGAAAAAAAAAAAAATTAAAATGATATTTCACTATTTTCAAGTCAGAAAATCAACAGACTTTCCAGAGATGACAACCTTCTGTTAGAATGCATATTCTAATATTTTTCAGTATGTCTAGGCCCTGTCCATATAAAAATGGGAAGTACTGGAAGTATCTTGGATGTGCATTACCACTGCATGCTTTATTACTCAGTGTATCTGAAAGACAAATCCTGGGAGAGGAGATCACAACCGACCAAAACAGACACATAAAGGCAACAAGCTAATAAATAGCACCACTTTTACATTTTTAGGAACTCTCAAGTGTATGAGGACAGTTAGGAATGCACATAAGCAAGAGTCTAAACCTCTCCTTTCCAGCTTGGAAATCCAAACTAATATTTAACCCATAACCTCTTTAGTTCCTTTCTGCTTATATGTAGAGCACATATCAGCATATTAATAACCCAGACCTGGAAAATAACATGGATAAAAACATTGCCATAAATGTCTTTCAGTAACTTTTGCATAAGCTAATTTAATTCAATTAACTTTAAGTTCATACCTTAAATAATTCTGAGATGAGAAAACTGGTACTAAATTTCTGTACTGTAGCAGAGAAAAGCACAAAAAGAGCCTGCAGTGAGCAGTCAAAACAGGCAACATAAAGTAGAAAGAGAAGACACAATCTGAAGACAGAGGGGAAATTTAACTTTCCTCTGGATTACTCATAACCTGATACACTAAAATCTAATCTGCTCTTCTAAAATCTACATTTTACCAAAGAATCAGCTGTTTGGACTTGACACAGGAATATTTAGAAATGGAGTTTCAATACAGTGAAGTTCTCAACAGTAGTCACAGTAATCCTTTTGGCCTTAGAAACCACTGTCTAAATGTCTTACCTGTTTAATATGAAAATGAAGCAAAAAGTTATTTTTTAAGGAATTTAGTTTCTTTAGAAATTGTTTTGAGAAAGTGGAGAAATGGTAGTAGATTCCACTGTGAATTACAGACCCTAATAAGTAGCTTATCCCTCATCCCTCAAAATGTGTGTTCCTCCTGCTAGTAGTTCAGAACCCCGTGTATTCTTAGCAGCTACTTAAGTAAAAAATTAAAAGTAGGCACTTCAGTACTCTGTCATTTTGACTTGTATGACGTATATTCAAGCTAATGCACTTTACAGTTAAAATCACATTTAGAGCATTATGTGAATCAAAGTTGATTTCATAAATCTAATAAAATCTGTTTGGTACTTCAATTTGTTCTGCACTTGGCTAGAAATAAATCTATACTGACCATAAGCAAAAACCAAACTTTGTTTAAACAAAAATTAAATTATCCTAAGTAGTACTTGAAAAAAATGATTTCTGTAACCTGTCTCACAGTGTATTTTTATTTACAAGTACTGTATAATTATATGTATTGACAATAATAGAAATAGTATTATTATGATAAATAAATATCATTGAAAATAAGACTGAATTTACTTATAATTCAAAGGCAAATACTAAGATCCAAACAACAAATGTGCATTACTGTGCTCCATAAATCACAAAGAGGTTTGTCTGCACCTATCTTTACCTGGTAGAGAGATTGCTACTGTCACTATACCAGTACAGTACTTTTGGTGGAAATAGGACAAAATATTAACAAAGTAGTAACTATTACAATTGACAGCCTTTTAATTTCTGCCCTGAAGGAGATTAAACAATGCCAGTAACCACGGGTGCTAACTGGAAGCCTTACCTACGATCACTGATCAGGAAAATATTACCAGAGGTACTAAAGGTAAGGAGAAACTGTTGAGAAAGACTCAGTGCTTTTGCTTACCGATTGCTAAGCCATCACTAAAGTTGTGAATGCCATCTCCCATAATTACCATCCAAGCAATATTAGCTATCCCAGTATCTTTCAGGTCTTTTCCAGAATGACAGTGGCCATGGGAATGATGGGAATGTTTGTGATGCCAGTGGTGACTGTGTTTTCTAGCTATCATTTTATCTTCTCCGTGGCTGTCATACTCTGAGTCATGAAGGTCATGCTCTTGAGCAGCATGTGAGACGTCGTTGTGGGAATGGCGCATGTTGTTGTCCTCTTCTACAGACAAGAAGTTTTTGGGAGGGGATTCCAGCTGCCCATCCAGATCAGTTAGTTCAGTTTCATTCAGTCGATCTTCAGATAAAACCGAGTCGTCTGCTCCTACATGGAAGCCAGTTGGGAGAAACACTGTGTTAATTCATATTTAACATGTCACCAGCAACTGCTGCATCACTGAACTAAGAATTAACTGCTCTGAGAAAGCCAAAAAGTACTTTAACACATCCCAGTCTAGTAACTTTGTTGTCAATATTCAGCCAGAAAAATAAATCTCTCACTGATACATTTTTTGACTAATTTGCATGTACACCATATAAAAGTCTCCACGACAAGGCAACATCACTGAGTCCATAGCACTCAAAGCCAGTTTTAGCCCAGCCTAGGCTTGTTATCTGCAATTTTGCTACTGACAAGGTTTATGGTTCAACATTGGCAAAGGAGAGTTGCCAGGATGATAATAACGTCTTATATGCTGTAGGTGGAATCTGAATGGCTCAGGAAACCTTAACTGGCTACTGCCAACACATGCCCCTACAGGTCTCAGCTCAGCCTTCACTGCAGCATATCATGACCTGCCAGCAACACAGAAACTAGTCACAGATCTGTTGTACTGCATGAATCCTTGTGTCACACTTGTGTGCTCACACAGTGAGCTTCTTCAGAGTGGCTCATTACCCTGCTAGCAATCAAAGCCATTTTTACAAGTAATACAAAGTGAAAACAATGCAGAAGGCTTACACAATGAATTTTTAAGTCTACTAATATTTCCAAAATATTAATAAACAAACAAAGTGGGCAACCTATGCTCCAGGAAAGAAAAGCAGTTGTGGGGTAAAAATAAAAAAAAAAAAAAAAGGCAGTTCTGGACAATTAGCTCACAAAAAAAAAAAAAAAATTCAGAGTCAAAAATACGCAAATCGTAAGTGGAATTAAAAAAACTGGCACAGAGTTCAGCAGAAAACAGCAAAGAGTTTTAGATAAACAGGGTCTTAATCATCATGTGGAGGTGGTATTAAAAAGAAACAGAATGGCCATTCAAGTCAGTGGTAGTGGCACTGCAGTTCAAAATTCAAATTCAGCATGGGCTTCCAGTGCCTGCAGTACCAGTGGTTTACTAAGCAGCAGAGCACACTTTCACAGTAAGTGTGTTACAAAACCAGTACATGCTCCATGTTATCAGAAGCAAACCTCCTCTGATTTGCCATTAAAAGGAAATGAGGACATTTCAAATACATTTACCACCATCCATACAGCTGAAAGTCTTTCTATGTTCTATGTCAATGTCCCATATCCCACTGAGTGGAGAAGGCTGCAGCTCTAATTCTCCCTTCTACAAACCAATCAAATTAACAAAGCTGATTCTGTAGAAATACAGCCTATGGACTCTTCATCAACAAATTAATGCAGCAGTCATGCAGGCAACAGAACAGGAAGGTTATGAAGCAAAGCCCTTCCCCTTCTCTCATCCCTAGAGGGACACAGAATTCCTTTCTGGGTGCACACTGTCTGAGCATTCACAGACTGCCATGAAGGAAGAGTATGCAAAAGTTGTTTTGGATACTTGAGGAATATTCAGGATACTCAGTTGTATTTATGAAAAGAAACAGATTCTGTTAAGTCTCCTCAGCCAAACGATAATTGGTTCAGCTGCTGGAATCTTCAAAGTGAAGCAGATATCTGTATTCAGGTTGTGTGGGTGTTCATTTTTGATCTAATTTTTGTCAGGGCTGAGCTATTCAGGCACAGCTGAACCAAAAAACACCCTGAAAACAAATAAATAAAAAAACTCCCAAAGAACCACAGCCACCCAAAACCTGACTGCTTCAGAAGTCTGAGAACCATCTTTATGGCATATTTAGGAAGTGTTCAGAGTGCTCTCAGATCTAAGGAAGAGAAAATAAAAAAAGATTTAATAAGGAAAGCCTATTAAGTCTTATTAACAATGATTTGCATAATAGCAGCAAAACTGTACAAGAGGTTACATGCTAAATACCATACCAAAGTAACATGCTGCTCCTTTGAATCTCACAATCAGAGAAATTCTGAAAATAAATGCCAACCTGCAAGGGGTTTCAGCTGAAGCCAGTCAGCATCTGGTCTATTATTTAATTTGTGATCAGAAAGCTTCCTTCCAATTGGTGATTCTTCAGTCTGGTTTTTTTTGCACCATTTCTGCTTACTCTGCAACAGAAAACAGGTAACATCTGGTTTGTAAAATGACATTGATGGAGATAAAAAAACCCGAAATGTTGTCCAAAAATCTCTTTTAAAGAGATCAGCTTATTCTCTTAACGTGTTTAACAGAAGTGTGTTCCTTCAGAATACTGAATTAAGCATAGGCTTAACAGGCGAGGCTCAGCAACAGTAGCTATCCCAGTGGAAATTCTTAGCTACCTACCACAGAATCTCACACACACAGATAATATTTCACTTTAGTAGGGCAGTACATTCTGACTAGGATTGCTCTCACAGCCTAGAAACACATGTATGCAGATTTTGTTCAAGCATGCAGCAAGAACAGCTCCTCTAATTTGTTCAACTTCAATTTTTTTATACTTCTAGAACTTGCTTGTGTTTTCCCTTAAAAAAGTAGCAAGCTCTTCTCTATCTGCAGCCCATACAACAGAGCTTATGGATTTGCCAAAGCAGCCTAGGGGCTTTAATTATTTAATTAATCTCAAAGAAGATACGTCCAATGGGATAGTTTTTATCCCTTCATCAGAAGATCTAAGAAATGCCTCCTCCAACACAGGAAATCTCTTGCTGCCTGTCCAGCTAAGACAGCAAGTCTGATGTGAAAACAGAGAACTTGAAAATTTTTCACACTCATTTTGAGAGAAGCAGTTATAGTTTCAGTTTCACCAAAATAATTTTCTCCTCGAAGTTGACTGATGAAGGCAAAAGTTAAAATTGAATTTCCATGCACACTCACACTCCCCAAGGTACCTGTTCTCCTTTTATACCACCATCATGAATAAAGAATGCTTCTAGCACTAAAAATCTAATAGTTTTTAGAAAAACAAGTTAAAACTTGACTGGCAATTTATAGAAAGCAGGAGGTCTGAAAATGTTAGCATTTTCTGATGTAGAAAAATTGAATACCTCTGTTAGACCACCATTGTTAGCTAATAATATACTGCTAAATTTCTTGTAAATTGTCCAGCAATTGCTGTGTTCTTTCTTACACACTGCTTTTCATATTTTTTGAGGGAAAAAAAAAATCACAGCACTTTGGAGAGAGAGCTGTAATCTCTTTTACTCAGATCTACCTCCAAATGTATCTGGTCAGAAAGCTGCAACTTTGCCCACCAGATTTCTTCACTGCCTTCCCAAATTACTGTGTTAAGAGAAGCAACTTCTTCAGATTAGGGTTTTCTCACATGACATGGGACAGAATAAAGATCAGCAGCACTTGTTCACAGAATAACAAATCATCACACAGACATTTCCTCCATTCTCAGAAGGTAACTTCAGGTAATATGTTTTTAAACAGCACGCAATTTTAGTACGTACCTTTTGTTTATTGTAATGTTTGTACATTCTTATACAGTGTTCAATGATGAACAAAACATAAATGCCTCCAAGTGCCACAAGACCTTTCAGCACTGGATCATTTTCTTCCAGGAAGCCTTCGGTCCGCACTCCATGTCCGTGGCCATGTCGATGGGAACGCTTGTGTTCATGGACATGACCTTGGCCATGGTGGTGACTGTGGTTGTGACCTCCATGTGACTGTTAGGAGAGAAAATAATAACACAGCACGACCTGGTGCAGTCAGGAGACCGAAATGGCTCTCAGTTCAGACTAAAAAATATGTCACCTTGCCAGTAAAGTAGCATAAAACCCCACCCTTTCTTTTTTTCCCCACCCTAACACACTTTGCCATATAAATTTTTCGTTAGACTATTCATTACGCTAATCAATTAAAAAAAAAAAATCCATCTGGAAATTTTTTTGGGCATTGGATAAGAATTTAGCTTCAGCTTTTCTCACAATGCTGATGATAACAAGACTAACTCTCAAACATCACACAGAATTACCATTCCTATGCTCCCACTAGTAACCAAACCTTATGATTTTTTTCACCATTACAGGCCGTAAGAGACTTAATTCTGATCTGAAATATAAACTTAAGAAAAAAAAGCCTAAAAATGTGTATTTGAATTTTTACAGAGAAAACATGTAAACAGTAATCTTACTGTACCATCATGAATTAAAAACTGCTTACTTTCCCTGAAACCTGGGCAATTTCTTGATTCACTTAGAGGTTACTTTCTCCCCAAAAGCTAGTAACCATGAAAGTGGATCCCCAGCAAATAATTTTAGGTGGTATTGATACACAATCAACTGTCAGTAGACAAGAGACAGCAATACTGCTTACTTTAAAATACTCTTGTTGGGCTCATGAGGTGTTTTAAAATACTAACAGCAGTTTAAAACAGTGACAGCAGTTCAACTATGAATACATAAAGGTAAGGAAACAATACTTACATGTGGCAATAGATGGAGCAGTGCATCTCCACTCATTGTTCCTACTGCCAGAGCTACCAGGAAAGTTAGAAGAAATTTGAAGCACCATTGGTTAATGATGGGAACCAAGATCACCCCTAGCAAGGAAAGCAGGCTAATGACGGTGATAGAGATGATACCACAAAACCAGGCTGTGGGAAGAAATGAATACAGAAAGGTTATCAGAACACCTGTAAAACTTTCAAGACAGATTTATGACTTTCAAGTATCTCTTAAGGAGTTGACTCTCCCTTAACCTAAGCTGTGTGACTGCTCATTCAAAAGGTGCTGAAAACTATGAGAGCAGTACTGAAGTCCACAGCAAAAAAAATACACTGACATATTCATAGTACAGTATAATATATTGAAAGACATCAGAAGAGTTAGCTAAAAAAAGCCCAGCAATTCTTCCTGATTGTTAGTTCCAGCCTCAGTTTTGTAGCCCTTAATAAAACACAAACAGCAAAAGATTTCATATTTGAACAAGAACACCTCCACTACTTAAGCTCAGATTGAGTTCAGTTTGTCATGTTAACTTAACAAACACTAATGCATATTTAGCATTTGTTTTGAACGTGGTTCTGATGCAAAATTTATCTGAAATCTCCTCCTCTGCTTGGAGTCACATGTTTAGTTTGGCCCTATTTATTTCACCTGGTGCTTTGAAACATACATTTTTATTAATAAGAAGTAAGACAACTTTTGACTCTAGAATCAAATTCTTCAATAAGAGCTTGAAGAGCTGAAAGCAACTTGCTATCAATGAAAAGCAGCATTTATTTTATCTGAGAACCTCTACTGTTGTCGTTAGAAAATGGGATGTGGTACACCCAACATAATCCTCTTAATTAGGGAAGATGAGCACATTTCTAGATGACATGCAAAAGAAGGAATTACTCAAGAAACAGATCCTGTAATCAAAGACACATGGCTCTAGCAGTCAGCATCTCACCCTAATAAAACATTTTCTGAAGTTTAAGTTTTAGTCTAAAAGCTTCAGGTTTTTCCAGGCTTTTCCTACTTCATTTTTAATCAAAAATGTCTACACATTTTGCCAACTTTACTGTAAGTCAATAACTCCTGATTCAAAACCACTAGCATTTCCACATTTCCTAGCATGACCTGACTTCTCTTGCATCTGTGAAGGTCCATTCATTTAGGGAAAACATCTGGGAAAATGGGAGAGTAGGGGATTGGTATGGATGAGAGAAGAGAGGAGGAGTGAATATTTTGTAGCTGCTAATATTAAAATGTCAAACATCTCAAGAATTCTACCTGTACCAAAACCACTACGGAATTGATTTGACAAGACTTTGCCAACAGATTGTGGCTGTTGGTCTAGTTCAACGTCAAAGCTTACAAAATCTGCTGGTTTAAAATTTCTTTTGGGATTCTCTTTCTTACAAAGTCTGTAGTTGTCATCCCACAACGCTGCACAAAAGGAAACAATTCAATTCAAGTGCAAAGGGTACAAGACCACATCCACCAGGAGAAACAGACTGGAAAAAGTTTTAGACAGTTTGCAGTGTGCACTGACATACATGCATATTGAGACAGAGGCAAAAAGAGAGTTCCTGAAAAGGCAAAGTCTGCCATCAGGTGAGGAACTAAAAAACAGAGGTTGAAAAATGGGAATACAAAAGTAGGTCTAAGGTGGACCTTGAGGACCAAAATACTGTTACTACGCAGCCTCCAGAGAACTTCAGCTACGAACTGTGGATTAAGAGGCTCTGCTGAAAAAAACAGCATAGGTGGACTTGTCATTCAATGCTGAATCATGCATGCATGCACAAGCAGCCCAAATATAAGTCACACAGCCATTTGGCAGGACACTGGACCTCCAATCTGGACACCTTATGATGTTAAGTGCCAGGTTAGATGATCGACAGCCTTACATGGAGAAAAATGGAAAGGAGATTATGCAAACTGGCTTAAGTTTCATATATCATAGCTTAGTTTTTGGCAAAGACACCTCTGAAGGGCTTACATACTCTTAGGAATGATACAGCACCTAAACATGGCATCATGATTAAGATGGGGCACATGAGAATTAGAATACAGAACCTGTGCACCTCTTGGATCCCCTCCAGGGAACACTGGCATCTGCACAGGCAGAATTACAAGCTGTATCTGATCTGAAATACTCATCGGCTCTAAGTGACCTCCATCTTTAAAAAAACTGCTCACTGTTTACTTTTATCACTTCCACTAGTTTGATTCATAGTAGGATGTGTCTTTACTTTTAGGTTAAGTTGCTTAGGGGCTCTCAGTGATGACAATGTCACCTTTTCCAGCAGGTATACTGTGAAGGCTCAGTTGTTATGCATAAGGCCCTGAAATTCCTCTATTAGAAGATGTTACAGAATCTATGACTAAATTACAGGAAGAAAACCCAACATAGCTTCATAAGTTTTTGGTTGTCAGTGAGTCGAAGCAACATTGGTCTGTTAAGTTTTTCTGAAAGCTCTAATTAGAATTAAAGAAAATCCCCCAAAAGCTTATGTTTAAAAATGACTGCATCCTCCTAACTTCAGCAAATCCTTCCATCTAAAAATATTTATATTAGCTCGTGTAAGCACACATTCTCATTTTAGTAAAATCCTATAACCTGCAGGTTCAGTTACTCTATGACTGAAATTAGTCCTACACCTACCACAGTCCCCACATTCCAGTTAGGATTTGTTATTTTGTGATTCACTTCCTTACTTAAAAAGGAAAAATTAGTATTGCATCACTGAAATTTTGCTGCAGTTAATCCAAGAGTATACAGGAAATTGCTGTGAAGAATGATTTATTGTTATCTAATCAAGCTGACCTGTTTTAGGGGTTACTGTTTATGTTCACAGCCAAATCAATGTTAAAACCCAAATTTTAACAACTAATTGGCAAAGATGTTATTTATACTCAAGGTATCAGATGACATAAAACATGTTAAATATTCACAATCAGCTTCATTAATTTTGCAGATTAAGTCTCTTAAAATATTAAAGGTCTTCAAGCTGAGTTATTCATCAACTCCCCTTCTCATTACAGAGAAATAAAATGCGTTTGTTTAAAAAGAAGCACTCAACTGTAGAAACTTTCTAATTAAACCGGTCCAAAGCATGTGCAACGTGACAGTTTTGTATAGGGTTTCAACATTTTAATTGGCAGAAAATGCTTAGGGCAACTCTAGAAATGCTCTTGGTGATAAGGCAGGGGTCAACTCTAACTACAATGAGATGACCCCACAACACAATGTGCTGCCATATGAAACACACAGTATATCTGGTTTATAGCAATCTTTGAACAGTTAACAAGACAGCAGATGTGCCTCTATAGCAGATGTATGCATAAGAAGTTAACTATTTTAATGACTCCAGAATCGTTAAGAAAGAACAATGCATACTTTCCAACAGTTTTCAACATCTATGAGAATGTAGTTATTTCAAGCTTTATTTCTAGTGATGCTAATAAGCACCTATGTACTAATCAATACTCACGACAATACTTTTATTTTCAAAATACAGACACTGCACGCAATTTTTTTGGTTTTTAATATTTCACTGCTACTAAACATCAACAGTTCCATTATCATTTATAAAAGACAGTAGTCCTGAATATGTATTTTAAAAGTACATTCAGTTATGAAATCATAACGAATTCTGCCCCTAAAGTAGCTGCTTTAACAGTAGTAAAAACATTTTTAGCTTTGAACTTTGGCAAAATGCCTAGGCCCAATGGTAAGATGTTAGGCCTCAATGTTAGGCCCAAAAAAAAAAAAAGAAATAAAAAGAAGCAAACATATAATAGTGAAAATAATAGTGAATGAAACATACCTCCTTGATCCATGGTTACCCTGAAGAACCTGTTATACCACCTAAAAGAATGCTATGTCTCCTGACTTAAAGGATGACGTTGACTCAAATTTCTTCTAGTATGTTAAATTTCAACCATTCCAAGCAATGATGCTTGGAATAAACTGTATGACATGTCAAACTTTGAAGTTTGACATTTAAATTGCAAAATGATTTAGAAAGTTTTAGATGTTAACACACCTACCTGATGCACCTGTTTTATCTTTATTCTCAATTGACGCATTTTTACTTTTCATAATGTCTTCAAACTCATCATAATGTGCAATACAAAGCCTTCTCTCAATCTGGTATAGCAAAGCAGGACATATGTACACGAACAATTCAGGAGATATTAGAGAGCTGGTTTCCAGACCATAATATCGTAGCAGCTGGGTAGCATTTAAGCACTGCAAGCAAATTGTACAAACAAATTAAATATAAAAGCAACTATCTTATTAAAAGATACAGTCATGGAGAATTTAGCATATTATTTGAGAACACAAAACAGACAGCAGAAACTTCGGCCCAAATATACCACCAGTGCTATGATGTGTTTTAAGCTGACCTAAGTGGTTTATGAGTGGAAAGAAACAGTAAAAATATCTGGACTACAAATTCAAGTCTCCCAACATCTAAGTAATTTTTGATAAATATTAATGAAAATGAGTTACCATATTCTTTATCATTATACAGTAAAAGTAATGAAGAAAGAGCAACAGGTAAGGAGTGGGAGAATGTAAATCCAAAATAGGTTTACTAACACTTCTGTTTATCTACCAATCTTCTGTGTTTAGAGTTTTACTTTTTAATTCAGTTTAAAACCTCAAACTTAGCATTCACTCCATTCTTCCTTATCCTGACTTCTAGTTTAAATTTATGCTGTCAGAATATCCTGCCTCTGTAGTAAGGGGCTATTTATGGTGCTGGCAGAAATAATGGATGCTGAAGGAAGAAACAGAAGATCTTACACTGAGCACAGTGCTACAGAAGCTACATCTACAGTTGCTTCATAATCTCTCAGGACAAACACATTAGAAGCATTATGAGAAGATGCAAACATTTCTTTTAGGAAAGAGTGTCTGTGCAGCTTTCAACAATGTTAATGATCTCAGATTCAGAAATAAGTCCAAAACCAGTGTGTGTCATGGCAGTATTCATCAATACTAGGAAGGGAGAAAACCTCACCTGTAAGCAGCATATCTCAAAAAGCTTTAAAGGACCAACTTCAATACAGATAAAAATAGGCAAGAAGATAGATCTCTGAGAAAACACAGGTGATGGGCAGATAGAAATGAAAACTCATGAAGTAAACTCAAAACTGTGGCAGTGACCTCTAGCATTTTCATTCTGCGATCTGTATTATACCATGGTCACAAACACGCTTCTCTGTTATTTGTGGGTATGCACCTTCAGTTACTACGTAACATTACATTACATACAACAAAATGTAAAACCAGCACAACTCAACTTACCAGCTCCCCACTTCACACTCACCTCTTCCCGATCCTTGTGACCACGCGTTGATAAAAGGGCACGTTTTCTTACACTGATCTGCTTGTGAGGTGCCTCTCGCTTGCTGGTATTTCGGTGCCCATCGTCATTACCTAAGCTGGCATCTTGATGTCCATGACTACTAGAACGATCACTGCTGTGGTCGTGATGGTGCACATGCAAGTGAGATGCATCATGTACGTGATCATGTTTATGGACACGATTGTGCTCATACTGATCACCGGGATCACGATCTGGGGCATAATCCCACGTAGCATCTCCCGAAGTCTCGCTGATCTTCTTCTGCTTCTTTTTCTGTTTCCGTTGTTTTCTTTCTGGCTGATCCTGAGTTGCGTTTGTCTCTGTTGAAGGTTCATGGTTCTGTTCCCCATGCTCACGATGACTAACTGAATCATTACGGGAGTGATGGGTGCCATTATGGTCATGGCGATGTGGACGAGAGTGGTGGTGGTGGTGACGGCGACTTTGGTCATGAACATGTTTGCCATCATCTTTTACTGATGGCACCACTGTGTCTCTCTCAGCATCACATTTATGACTTCTCTTTGCAGACATACCAATCATGGTTTGGTTTTCTGAATCTGAGTGGCTGTGAGGATGGTTATGAGAGTGAAAATGTTTTCCTTCCTGTACTTCTAAAGCATATAAGTGAGAAACATGATCATGGCCAATATCATCATGATTTATCATCACTACTTTTACCTCTCCTAAACCAAGGCTTATTAACAGTTTTTCCAGGCCAAAAAAAGATAATCTTCCATTTTCACCATAACGATCAAAAATCTTTTCAATGTAGTATTTTTGCTCATTTTCAGCTTCCAACGTTGAAAATTTACTCGGCATAGATTCTGTTCCTCCACTCTGGAAGTACGATTCATTTGAGATCTGATAGTCGTTATGGTAGTGTCCACGATCCTTTTTAGGACCATTGTTATGTCCATCTCCATGGCAATGATTGCACTGATGAAAGATAAATGTCAGCAAACAAATGATGCAAAATTTTGTGTGCATGTGTACCTTCATCTCTGTTTCCTACAAGAAACACAAGGGGAAGCACTTAGGTGTAAAAGCAATCTCAACACTTGTACTACGTATCAATCTGGTACTCATTTATGCCAACTGAATGGTTCACAAAGTTTTTTATATATTGGCATTAAAAGAATAACAATTGCAGTACTTTTACTGCCAAAATTGTGTTAGTGTACTTTTCTTACCCAACAGTCAGATAGATTCTGTGTATTTTAGAGATGCTGTTTTACATATAATATTTGCAGGAGGTGATTACAAGATTTACAGCATTTACAGTTAGTCATAACACTTTTGTGCATATTTTCAGAGGCATCTATGCTTATGATAACCTATAATATTGAAAATATTTTCAAACCCCAACTTATAAAAGAATAAAAATTATTTTAAAATAACAGTACTGTATTTTCTTGCATCATGGGGGTGACAGGCAGATAAGACAGTTGAAATCCCATGCATCATTTGTTCTCTTTTGTGCTGCTAAAGTACCCCCACTAAACACACACACTGCACAGTTCCCTTTTTTGAAATCAGCCATTACCAATTCCAAAATAAGTTGTCATTAACCAACTTTCGTGTATTGCTTAAATTTTCATATTTTTAGCACTTTTCACTTACATAGGTTTATTTACTTGAAAGATCTATGTGGACATTCATTTAAAAGTAAGGTTATATGGAAAACAACTTCTTATGCAACTCAAAAATAACTGTTAATTCTGACACTGTCCAGCTTAAAGTAACTAATACTGGTTTTTAGAAACTATATCACCTAGAAAATGTAGTTTTCAATTTAGTATTACATGTAAGAAACTTAATATTCAACATTACATTATGAAGAAGACACTGCAATAGTGTATGTTGTGTTTAGAGTTGAAAACAATTCATTATTTTACAAAATACGACAGCTGTCTTGTTTACATCTAGTAGCATATATATATATATATAGCATTGGAATAATTACTATGAATGAAACTTAAGAAAAAAATCCAAGTGCATGTAAAAAATGTTATCAAATTAGAAAACTAAATATAAGTCAAGAACTGTACTTTATGACTTCTATTTTCTAGAGACTTATTTTGGATAGAGAATAACCTTTAAAATCAAAGAGCATTTACCTTGCAGCAAATGCAAGGGTGTAAGAAAACAGGAAACAGGGCAAGCATGCTTTAGTCTTTTAACATTGACAGCAGTTTTAGTTCCTTAAGTGCATCTTGACTAGAGCTGGCACTGACCCTCCATTCACAAAGACACAACTAATCTGGTGAACACATCCTAAAATGACACTGACTTTCAGACAAGACACAGTAAATTCAGTTGTCCTTCCCAAGCCCCCCGCTAACTAAAATGTGCTTCATGAAATTGGTCAGGAAAGTGATTTGCAGCAAACCACAAACATTTAAAGTCCATCCTAATTTCCTAAAATACCAGTTTGTTGATTTGTGCATAATTACTGGCAACCACATTATTACACATAGACACAGACACACAAAACCTGTTGGAAGCTCCTATACTTGCAACAGGTAGGAAGAGAAAAAGAATCAAAATAACCAGGAAGGGGATACGTTCTAATATAGCAAATAAATGAATCAACACAGAAGACTGGGGGAAAAATCTTTCTCCTGTAAACTTCTACAAATACAAAATATGAAAATTCACTTTTCACTGGAGTTTCAAATCCCTATGAAATTAAGAAAAGGCAGAACTGTGTTTTGCAATACTATCCCACTTAAAAATGTAAGACTAGAAGAATATCTGTCAAATGGAGGCATCTGCATCAAAATTGGTTCTAGGGACATCAGATAGGTCAATGGCTAACCATTGTACATTACTGGCTCATTTTTATAAACAACTGTTCAATCATCAGTCTGTAATGACTATAAGTTTTCCTCCAACTCAATTCCAGTTACTGATTTAAGGGCTGTAACAAACTTTCTCAAGTAGTTTATCATGATAAGTTCATCCCTGAAATTTACTGGGATATTATTTTCATAAAGTCTTTTTCACTCACAGGCTCTGTTGAAGGCATCCCTAATGTTCTTATAAATACATCACAGGATTAGTAAAAAAAAAACATCAAAAGTATCTCAAAAATCTTTCAGAAGCTTTTTCCGTTTTCCTCTAAGGAAACAGGTAAATGCTGGTACTGGTGGAGTAGAATGAAACAGGTTGCAAATCTTTATCCAAGAGTCACTGGAGTGGGTCAGCCCTCAGACTGTATGACTGCCTGGAAACACTTTTAAATAAAGGACATCTGCTTTTTCTTATGCTGAGAACCTGGACCCTGACTCACAGCATGCCAGGAAGCAGAAACTTTCTGGCAGTAATCAGGAGTGTGACTCAAGAGAGCTCCACATTTCTTTAGGAATACGCTGATTTTCATCAACTGAGGATTTACCATGTTGAATGCTACATAATGTGAAGAGTAGGTTCAGGATCTGGAATAAGCAGTTAAGGCACACGCAAGATGAACGAAAGCCCTGGGAGAAAGGAAAACTTCTATGTGCTTGCACAGGAGATGGCAGCAACAGGTAAGTACTTGCTGTTCACTGTAATGCTCCAGCCAACCATTCAAGAAGCTTTTTTACTTCAGTTTCTCAGTACAGAAAAGAGCATGGCAAGGTTAGGTAAAACTCAAGTTACTCAAAGGGTACTGTTTTTTGTAGGTAAGACAGCTTTTCTCCTCCTTTGCTACATACTGGTAATATAACCAGAACAAGCACGATCCAGGCTAAAATATCTCTATCAGGAAATTCATGACTAAAGCATGATCATAATCCTTTTCACACAACCTCATGATCTTTTTCATGTGACTGTCTCATACAATACTACTAATACATTACTTGGAAACTTTAGTCATGCATCCCTAATTGTGGTGTTTAGCTTTGAATGGTACCTTTTCTCCATGCCCTAATGGTTAAAATAGTTTGTAACCTATGATCATCATTCATTGCTAGGATACAAGAGCTGAGCATTATCAGACCAATTTCAAATTCAAGTACTTGTCTCACTATTTTCAATTAAAATAGTAATAACCCTAGCACAATATTTTTGAGTTTCTATTATATAATATGTTGTATCTTCTATGGCAATTCTTGTTACAGAACAAAGATGCTTAAAAAAATAAATGTACCCGTAATAAAAAGTCTCAAAAAGAACAACAATAAAGAGCTGATTATTTATTTGTTTCTTTTTTAATAAGCTTCATTATTCTCTAAGCAATTACAAACTGCTGTCATATTTAACCTCTCAGGCAGTGCTTGTACGTGTAAAATACTGGAAAGCTGAAGTCCAAATTCTATACATTTCAGTGGCACAAAATTCTGTTTAGCTGATCTGAACATGGGAACATTAAGACCCTCAATTCCTTTCAAGAGAATATGGAAGGGCAGCCTGAGGACAAGGCCACACCAAAGCTGAAAAAGATTCTGCCTATTACTGCTGTCACCTTTGCCTAATTCTGTTCACTCGTTTGATTCCCTGCTGCCTCCCCTTCTTCCCTCCACAGCTCCTTGATGGGCGGGCACCCAACACAGGAGAGATATGAGGGAAAATACCTCCTGGATGTTGGTAAGAAACTACAGCACTGTAAAGGGCAGGGCTGGAAGTAACAGCACCTGCTACAGTCTCCTGAGCTGGGCTCGAGAACAGCAAGAGTCCTTCAGGCAGAGAGACAACCCCACGCTAACCCAAGCTCCAAAGTCAGAACAACGTGCACATGTGGAAAAGATGAGCAGTGTGCCCCACCAGCAGGCATTTCAGAAATGGCTCACAGTGCTGCCCAGTGCACCCCCTCCCCGTTCAGGAGGGCAAGCAGATCACTCACACTCAGTGCAGCATGACTGCACAGCCACACACAAGACTTTTGTATCAGAGGCTTGAGGTCACAGAACCTGAACAGCACATAAGCAAAGAGTTACCTTCTCTGCATGGAAAACTCACCATATCTCTATGCTAAACCACTGTCTGCCTACGGTGTTTAATCTAGTAATTAAAGATACCTATGATGATAGTTGGGTTTCGGTTTAGTATTTTTTAAAGCCTTTTTGATTCATTTTCCCTTGGATTCCTGAAACTTACCCACAGTGCTTACTATTTCAACTGTTCTTCTTTATATAGTACTTGATTTATGACTTGGAGCTTGGAACATAAACGTGATCTTGGGTGAAATTTTTGTTTATTTATCAGCAACTGCTTCACTGAAACTAGAAAACTAGTTCAAGAGTTAGGCTTTACTTAAAACAACAAACTTGGATTCAAATTACGTGGTCATATAAAATGCAAACTGAACTGAAAGCCACATCTATCATTTTAGTGCTTGCAACCCACGTACTACAGCATTTTTGTTAGTGTACAACATTGCTGACTAGAACATTTTAAGTGCCCAACTTTCTTCCCCCAACCTGTTTTCTTGTCTGCTCCCAACAATTTTAATAACCTGAAATATTTGTAACAGAAATGCACTGATTTCTGCCCTTCCCACGCTCCTTCCCAAGTTATTTCAGTTTCTTTTCCGTGTTTTTGACTTTGTTTCCTTGTTTTCTCTGAAGAACATACTGCCCATCTTTAAAAACATCTTTGACTCCTTTACTCATCTTGAATGCCCACTATAAGTAAATTAACTTAGCAATATTTCATGGGTAACTAGAAGCTCCACACCAAACACATGCTTCAGCTAAGGTGAGAGAGAATCCAGAAGGACAAAAGGTGTTAAAAATAAAGACAAAGTAATATTCTTACCAAACTAAGACATTCTCTCTGTTCAGCACCGAGAAGTTAAGCACTTGTGTAACTCATTTCTATTAAGAACTGCTCAGAGTAAAAGCTCTATGAGAAATACCAGTTTTTTAAAAAGACAAATACTTCTTGAAATAAAATTTCTGACTGCATAAAGATAGTTTTTCTTACAATTCTTTAAAATTTTAATGCCTTTTTATATTGCAGGTATTCACTGGTATGTACATGAGGGAGAAAAGTCTGCAGTCCCCTTCACCCCACCCCATCCCAAG